CGTGCTGGCGCGGCTGCGCCGGGCCGGGCCGCCCGCCGTGCTGCGCTGCCTGGGCGCGCAGCGCTTCTCGGTGGCCGGCGCCGCCTTCCCGGCCGACTTCTGCGAGGGCACCTTGCCCTACTCCTACAACCTGTGCGTGGCGGCGCCGGCCCGCGCCGTGCCCGAGGCCGCTTGGCCGCCGCCGCCGGTGCCCGTCCTGTCGGCGGAGGAGCTTCTGAGCGGGGAGCCCTTGGAGAAGCACATCTCGAGTAGAAACACCGCCGAGGGAGAAATGCCTCTCAATCCGGACGCACCACAGCTCTGTAAAAGTGTGAGTTCCTGCTGTTATCCTTGTGCCTTTCTTAACAGGCTTTCTCTGTTTTCCCAGATTGCTACACTTGTCATGATCCGGCCATTAGCTGTCGGTCCATTTTATTTTGTTATTTAGTCCGAAAGGGAACATGTGTCTGGCTCTGTTTATTGGAGAATTTACATGTTGTTCTAACCCTCTTCAGTTTGCCCTCCCATGTTTTGAGATAAGGCTACATCACATATTTTACGTCTATTGAGGCTGACAAGTTTTTTCCTCTAGTATTATTTATCTGATGCAAACGAGTGTTTTAATCCTGTTTCCAAAGTTGCCGTATATTGTTCACATGTTTTGAGGGAATGCTCCTGTAGAAATGACAGCATTAGTGACACATATATATATATAATTCACTCATGATTTTTCAAAGGATTTTGTGACAGTTATTTGTGAGTTCATCGGAGAACACGGATTCTTGCTCTGCAGAAAGAGATCCACTGATTCTATGTAACAGAATTCCGAATTAACACTTTTGGTTTTTTAGGAGGACAGGGCATGAGTTTGCGTGTTATTTACGGATTTTTCTCCTGAGATGTGTGCATTTTCGACATGAAAGGAGAAATTACAGGTTGTTCCTCCCTTGCTGGAAGAGTGTCGAATGTATTTGGGAATAAGTTTTCTTCAGGAGTGGTAGGCGGGGTTGGTTGTTTATTCCAGTCATTATTTTTCTCTGCAGTTCTTTCTGCAGAGCTGCGAGTTCCTGCTGTTCTCCTTGAATCTTTCCCAACCGTTGCCCTCTTTTCCTTGGGTTTCCCCGGGTAGTGTAGGTTGGAATGGCTGGTCCGTATCTCTAAGTAGGAATAAAAGAACGAGGTGAATTCCTTTTCTTAGAACAGGCAATTAGCCATAGAGCTTGATTCTGTGTTGGCCACAGCTTCAGATTCATCTAAGAGGCACTGTCTGCATCTCTAGAGTTGACTAAAATCGTATGAGATAGTAACCGTGATGGGGAATCCTAACTGTGCAGGAGATTCGTGGTTCTTCATGATGGAATTGGGGAAATAACCCAGGCACAAGCTCTTGCAGATTTTCCCCTCATGATCTGTTTATCCTGAAAATGTACTCTAGGACTTGGTTAAAAGCTGGGCGCATACCGTTTGTTTAACACTTGCTCGGTCTTGGACTGCAGAAAGACTCGTTTCTCACGGATAGAACAGTGACAGGTTCTCCAGCAAGAGTAAAAGAAGAGATTGCCTCTCATCTTTTGCGGGAATGTTGTTGCAGAAATGGCAGGAATGGTACCATTAGCGGGATGAGTTCATTTTGCTAGTTTTATTTTCTTTTTCCATTCTGGCTGGTAGTTCCCTCTTTTGCTTTTACCATTCCTAGTATTTCCTTCATATACAGGTGTCGATGAAGACTGTAGCCTCAAACAGGGGGGGAAAATAGTATTTTTTTTTTTTTTTGTTGGTGGTGTTGTTCCAGTGGCTTCTTTCTTATCAGTTTTATAAAAAGAGAGGTGTTTCGACCCTATATAGAGAATCCGTTCTCTTAGTGAGGTTTTTTTTGTTTGTTACTTTTTTTTTTGGTTGGTTCCCCTTCCGCCCCTCCCTCCCAGTATTTCTTATGAATGTCAATTTTAAAGGATAATGAGGCTCTACAAATATAGATATCAAATGCATAGGAGATTCGCCAATTGACAGTTCAGGCTCTTGAATCAGGTATATTTGAAAATTTATCAAAGGCCATTAGAGGCTGAGGTGTACAGCTGCAAGTCTCTTTTCCTGCTGCCTGAAAGTATTTGGGTGAAAATGTGCCATAGCTACATGAATACACAATAATTTGAACAAGGTTTTGCTAACGAGCCCTTTGCATCCTAATTTCTGAAAAAAGAAAAATATCTTCCAGGGATTATACAATTACTTGATTGAATTTAATTTTGTATAAAATGTATAATATAATTCATTACAGGAGCTTTCCTGTCTCCTGGGTAGTTGTAGATACAGTCGGCACAGAGTGATGAAGTAACCTACAGCTGTATACCAGAGACGGTTTTCTTTCGCTGCCCTTGCGCCGGTCATTCCATCATGTTTTCTACAAATATTTGTGATGAAAGTTCTGCTTTTGTACTACTGCGGTAGGACTCGTAATACCCCGTAGGTCCTATTAAAATAACTACCTTACATCTCACTGCGTGCAGTGCCGGGAGGAGGCTGCGGGCGCCGCTGCTGACCGAGAGGAGCGAGAGGAGCTCGGAGCGCCGCAGCCCCGCCCGCTGCGGCCCGGCTCGCTCGCTCTCCCGGTGTGTGAGTCGGCGGCGGAACAGTCTGCGGTCGTTCCCGCGGTGCGGAGACGTGCTGAAGGGAGTCGGAAGAGCCTGGCAGAAGCGCTCGGGAGCGAAGCGCCGGAGCTGCACCGTGAAGCCAGATCGGTGAGCGGCGGCGGAGAGCTCCCGGCAGTGTTGCGGTGCCGCTGCGGAGATGTGCTGGGCGGGGAGGCGCTGGGGCCGGCGGCAGCGAGCTCTGCTCTGGGCCGTGCTGCTGGCGGCGTGGGAGGCGGCGTGGGGGCAGCTGCGCTACTCCGTGCCCGAGGAGATGCCCAAGGGCTCGTTCGTGGGCGACGTGGCCAAAGACCTGGGGTTGCAGCTGCCAGATATCCGCGATAATGCCGTCCGTGTTGTTTCCATGGGTAGGACGCAGTATTTTGCTGTGCACGGGAAGACGGGACATTTAGTGACGGCAGAGAGGATCGACAGAGAGCAGGTGTGCGAACGTGTACAGCAATGCGTGCTGCGATGTGAGGTGATACTGGAGGGGGAAATGAACTTCTATCAAATAGAAGTGGAAATCACAGACGTTAATGACAACGACCCCAGCTTCAGAGAGGCAGAAAAAGAATTAAGAGTGAACGAGATGACAGCTCCGGGATCGAGGTTTCCCCTCCGAGAAGCACGAGACCCGGATGCGGGCCGGAATTCCCTACAGAGCTACGAGCTGAGCGGCGACGAGCACTTCTCGCTGGCCGTGCAGGCGGGCCCCGGCGGCGATCAGCGTCCCGAGCTGGTGCTGGCGAAGGCGCTGGACCGGGAGGAGGCGGCGTTTCACGAGCTGGTGCTGAGGGCGATGGACGGTGGCGATCCGGCACGGACGGGCACGGCTCGGATCCGCGTGACGGTGCTGGACGCGAACGACAACGCGCCCGTGTTCAGCCAGGCGGAGTACACGGTGCGTGTGCCCGAGGACGTGCCCGTGGGCTCTGTCCTCGTCACCGTCACAGCCACGGACGCTGACGAGGGTCTGAACGGGAAGGTGAAATACAGCCTCCATAAAATTTCAGACCGAGCCTCAGAACTTTTTAATCTCGACTCCGAGACCGGAGAAATAACTGTTGAGGACGTCTTGGATTTCGAGGAAATCTCCTCCCACGAACTTGAAGTTCAGGCACATGACGGAGGAGAGCTTTTTGACACAGCGAAAGTCACAATCTCTGTGACAGATGTCAATGACCATGTGCCCGAACTAACAGTATCCTCGGTGGTGAGTGCAATCTCCGAGGATGCTAAGCCGGGGACAGTTGTGGCCCTGTTGCACATTCAGGACCGCGACTCGGGAGCAAACGGTGATGTGCGCTGCTCGCTCCACGGGGATGTCCCGTTCCGCCTAGAGAAGTCTTATGATGACTACTACCGTGTGGTGACAGCGAGAGAGCTGGACCGGGAGCAGGTGTCGGAGTACAACGTGACGGTGCGAGCGGCCGACGGCGGGTCGCCGGCGCTGCAGAGCAG